GATATGAGGCACGGTTCCGACCTCACATAGGATGAAACGGCAGAAATCGGCTTTGGTTCAGTCATGCGACGAATTCTGCTCATTGAGGACATCTACATTACTCACCGTTGTCAAATTATTAGCAGCCAGTGGAGACTTTCCAAACAAGCGTGGCCCAGTACGAGCGAAAGCATGAACATTTTTCCACCGCAGTTATCGTTTATGTTGACTGTTCGATGAAACGCTCTGTGTCCAATCTGGGACTATGAAACTAGGTGAGAAAGTAAAAATAAGGCTTGGGGGAGATGGTCTGGTGTCTGCTAAGTGGGTCATCGACAACCCAAATGTAACGGAACAGCTTGTCACACCGGGGGTGGTCTGTGAGATTTAGCGGACGATAACAATGCGCCGCTCAACAACATAGCACCGATATTTTTGGGACACATTGAGCATCCGTGTGTAAGCAGACGGTAACCAGTGGTGCGGCGCGTTTTAACTTCCATCTGCGCTCCGTGAACGAAGTTGCTACGCCATTCTCGGCAGATAGGTAAAATGTAGCCTAAAAGCAGCGAATCTACTTTAGTCTAAAATGAAGAAATCCAGGGTCCTCATCAGATGCTGAAGCCGTTGAAAGACGCACGTGTTTACGAAGTCCACGATACAATATTTTGCAATTAAAAATGTCCACTGGATACAAATTCCCTTTCACTTCGCACAAAAATCGCATTTTATCGAGCCTATATGATTTGCTCTCCGTATACATTAGAATTCGAGTAAGACTTGTTGCTTGGGACACGGCAATCAAACGGTTATCCGTTGCAGTTTGTAACGCTCCTTAGTGACCATACCGAGCGTGGTCGCACCCCAACAGTTTAAAAAGAGACTATCTCTTTCGAACTGTCATTCAGGGGTGATAATATTACGAAACCAACCACGAAAAGTATTACTGCTTCAGTGAAAAGGGCGTACAATGCAGATCAACTGCGATGCACATATCTACAAGGTCTCAGTTTACGTGTTCCATTAAGACAAGGATAAAAAAATGGTGTACGTTCTATTACTTACACAAAAGCATCTGTAGTTGCGAAGACGCCTAGGTCAGGTGCAGTGCTTAAAGTCTAGGTGTCAGGGTCAATGAAAGCAGTCTCACGTGGTTGCGCGGTCGGATATGATCACTGCTAGCAGAAGCAGATGAACTGAGAAATCGAGCTAACTCGTAAATCACAAGTCGCTTGCTGAGCGCCGGCCACCGGCCATAGCGTCCACCCCGAAGTCATTCACTGTGTTGATGCACAATCAAACACCCAACATACACAGGCTACTGAAATCTTTTGCCATCGATCGGGAACGGTCACTATTTTGCCTGCGGCGACGGCTGAATGTTCACCTAAAGTTACCGTGATATCGCGAGGCGACTAGATTAGGTTAACTATGACTACCTATCGATCCCAAATAACCATGCTTAGTATAACCATTCTTTCTGCCAGATTGTGCTTGACGAATTTGTACCAAATGGCAGAGTCATCTCACAAATTACGTCTCATCTTTCCTGTTAGGAAGTGTGATTGAAATTACTTGCATCGAATTTTGACTGCTGACCGTCTGTGAAACAGTTGATTTCTAAGGTGATTCAAATGCGACTTGCATCAAGAAAAACAGATCCGAAATCTCTCGGTGTCACTATAGCCCTATTACATCCAATGATGCTGCTGGATTCTTCCTCTTCTCCTGTGTTGCACAGAGTAAATCAACATGCAGTTCTAGACGTTCCAGAATAAAAACTGTATAAAACGGACCGAGAATTCTACCATGGCATGCGTCTTAAATGTTGTTATCCTTTCCGATACGCATCGGAAATGAGCCGGAGGTAGTTCACGAATGCGGCTGGGTCAGCTGTAGCAGGCTGTTAGACAGAAATGCGCTTACGTCATCAGGACCATTACTCGACTTCCAAAATTGGCATAATCTACGGTGAATACACACGTTGCAGGTGCTTTGTGAAAGCATTTACTGATTAGATATAGCAGCCTAGACAGCTGCTGCACGTACTGCTTCAAAGCAGTATATTCGCTATCACAGCAAAAATATGCTTGTCATATCTCACTTTGTTTTATTTCTGTGCTGCGTCTCAGCTGCTATCTCTACACACTTAATTGTGCGATACATTAGGAAACAAAAGAGTGTAGCAAAAATTGGGTCCTTAATGCGATTTTGAATTTTAGTTAGATGCCTGTTAGCCAAACGGGAAAATTTACCCCTGAAGATAGTCAGGACAAGTCTTCCGCACAAAGCAAACGTAGTTCTATTGGAGTACGTTTTACTTCATAAGAAGCAACTTTAGTATTAGTTTACTGGGTTACGTTAGAGCAGAGGAGACAGGTTACTTGTCGAGGCTCAATAATGTGAGATATCCGTAAACAGCTTCGTTCCCATTTGTGATAGTACAGCGGTTCATTTATAAAAAAATCCACAGGTAAGAAATGAAAATTACTGTTATGTGCCCATGGGACTCCACATAATTTTGACATTAAACTTAGATGTTGAAACTCTAGACGTAAAGGTTCATAGTGCTCATCGATTTATTAAAACGCAAAGCCAGCTAATATGCGGGGAAAACATCATAGAAAGTAAACTACTGTTTTCAACGACGCAACCCAAACACCTCGATAAGGTTGGTGACACCAGCACCGCTGCCAAATAAACTGATCTTTCCGTCCGATCGTCTGTGTACAAGCAGAGTAATAAACGTTCTTATCAATATAACAGTAGAAGTGCTTCAGAAGTAAAAACTAAAAACGCTTCGCGGACAATGCAATGTTTGCCGGAAAATGAGGTACAGTTTAGTAAAAATAACGAACATACATCCTATGGTTCAAATGGACCTTCTATGGATGGTCTGAGATGCATAGCACATAATATTTTCCCTCAAACGATGCGTAGGATATATCATCTCAGAATCCAGAACGATGATATAATGGTGAGTACTACTAATCCTTCAGACTGTTTACACAGTTCATATCGAGTAGCACACAACTCTTGGCAAATGGGGAGCAAATGCATCGCAGTCCAGCCTGTTGGTGACGTCCACCTGGAGTACTGTTGAACGGCAATTACCGCTTTCTCGTCGGTTGGTTGGTTTAAAGTTAGGTCACAGCAACACAACAAATCGCTGGGAAATCACAGCTGATGGCGAGGAGGTTAGCATGATTTACATAACAGTGACAGGCTTGCCTTCTGTACACTGTTTGCAACAGGTATCTGAGCATCAGGTAACCTAAATAAAACTAGCTGGTCGTTCAGAATCGTACTGTGGTGGTGTCTCTCAGTAGAAGAATGTGTTGAATTTTAACCTCTACTCCTCAGAGAGAATGAATCACTGAATTTTCGCCTAATGTCGCAAATGGCTGCGTAACAATCCGCTTAGTCATTGTGTAGGAGCGAACAACGTAACAACCCGTTTCAAGGAGGAGTGGAGGAAATGATAGTCTCCAAAAAGATCTCCGCAGTTTTTACTGTATGTGTACAGTGAATTTCACTTTGATGTAATATGTTTAAAAGTAAGCAGCCGCGGCAAACTTCGCTAAATAGTTTTCAGCTTTTGGTAGAAAGAACCGCGTGGCACTAAGTCAGAGTACCACCATGTATATGAGAAAGAATACACGATGCCACTTCGATGGCTATTAGTTTACGTCGTTGTTGTTCCCAATAACAAGCTGAACCGCAAATGTACCTGCTCGAAAATGCTCTCAACATATTACAATATTTCCGCTAGCTGCTTATTCAGATTACTGCACGCTCCCGATGAATACCTCGAAGGCGAAGTGAAAAGCTTCCTAAGTATGCCTCAACCTTCAACCGAAAGTCTTCTCAGTTATGATTTCTGGACTAACCAAATCAGACAGCCGGATCGGTTAAAAATTTGTAGTTCGACGTTTCTCTCCACCCTCCAACAGAGAGAAGGGCAAAAGCATGTGTTCATTTCTTGCCACAAACCGTCGTTTATGAGGTGTAAAGCAACCCAGAGAGGTTGTTCGCGTACTAACACCTAATCAGCCGATTTCCTCAAGGGCATACGGATTTGATGAGATGAAGACCGAAGGGAAACGGTCCCTTATCAGTGCCGCATACCTATTTGTATCAGTTGATGCCTGACTTCCACAGGATTTTCGGACACAGGCGGCTGCTTCTTACCTTCAACATAACAGTTTCTCGCAGATATAGATAGAATAGAAATACATCATTTGGGGCATATTCGTGAGGTCTTTTCAAAGAACATGTAAAAGGCGTTTGAATTTCCAAGGAATGTCGCATGACACCCTAAAGAAAAAAGTCGTCGATTACGGCATTGTCAACTTCGGAGCATCAACTATGACCTTCATTATTCCCCACTGTCACATATAGACGAGCGAACACACACACTGCTGCAACACTGCGTTCACGTTATGCAGGCGGAACCGACGGTCTGCGTGTATGGCATATGCTGCCAGGACATAAGCGGATGTGCATGAGTGAATACAACCTCGTTTGAATCGTAAGTTACCATTCCACTGGGAATCTAAACGACCCAAGCTGATACCACGGATGACGTTTTGGTCATAAATTTGGTCTGTTGTCTTCGCCTGGCCACGATAACAAAACCCAAGTGCGCACGCTGTCCCTAACCATCATTAGCGCAGCGAAGAGTTTTTTGTTTCAAACCACGTGCTTCCGCTAACATTGAAGTATGCAAAAAGGCAGAAATAACGTTATTACCTTAGTAGGTCTAAAATGGTCAGACTGAGCTAAATTATGGTGACTTAAATCCCCTATGCTAAGCTGATGTTCAGTTACACGAAGGTGCATGTCATCTACCCAGTCATAACCGCTTTAAACAGTAAGAGAGTTGCTGGTTTCGGAAAAATAAGCGCATGCTGTGGAGTACTCTTCAACTGCAGAATTCAATGAACAAAAGTATCTAGAAATGTTAACAGGAAACGAAGTGAGGAACGAATTGTGGGGTGTATTGAGGCTCGTAACCTTACCGTAAATCTAAGAACGATTGATCAAGCCTCGTTTTTGGCTCCGTGACTTCAGTTCGGGACGGATCTGTCAAAACTGCTCGTACCTGCACTGAATCCCGAAAATCCACAGAACGTGAATATCTGACAGGAACCTTGGAGAAGTGGACTTCTGGTCTTGTTATCGTCCCTGAAACAAAAAATGGTCAGTGCAAAATACAGAGTAGATGATACAACCAAGCTGAAGGCATAATTGATCGTTGATAATTAAACTTATCATCCGGGGATAGCGGGAATTTATATGGTAATGGACAATTTCACGATAGATGGACGGCTGGTTCTTACTTACGAGATGCGGCAGCGGTGCGCATTCCGTCTGCCTCATGTTGCGTCTGGAACCTGCTACCCCACTCTTTCGAGTCCAGACTACGGAAAGGAATACTGACTGACAAAACCGTTAGTACTATGGACCTAGTGTCTCACTTACCATTGCCTTGCACGATATTTCAGTGCAGAGAATAAGACAATCCCTTTGAGTATCAACTTTCTAAACTGAATTTGTAGACGATAAACGATTTTTGTGTTCATGGACTCTGTGCTGACATAAATAGCGTGTTTCATCCAGGATTTGAAGGCGTGCCGGAATGGTGAAGAGATTTGCACGACTTGCGTGGTCGGTGTGTATGGTAGTTTACTACGTCTAAGACTGCTAAAAGACTGCCACTTACTTCACCAGAGCAGTAATGACTCCAGTTAGAGTCGAGAAGTAGAATACGCTTAGGTAATGATGCAAAAATTGTATTTAAAGTTTTGCGTCCGTATCTATGGTGGAAACCGGGATACCGTTGTGTAGCGTTCCACTAAGCGACAAGGAATTGTAGAGTTGCACCTCAAAAATCTTGTTTTGTGAAGATTTATTGAAGGTAGACTCAGGTAGACAGCTAGTAAACATCCAGGAAAGCGCTAGATGGCCGGTTCGTCCTATTTGGACTAGTCAGTAGCGCGTAACCGCCAAACCCTGTCGGATGCAAACCCACGACCTTACACTTGAGTGTCAGCGATTTATGCCACTGAGCCAAAGGTATTAAATGAAACATTTTCAGTGCCTCGGACCCATATATATGACTGAGGATGTTTCCACTTTCGGGGGCTCACAGACCACTTAACCTTATGAGGATGCTGAACTTAACACATCAGCACCAACGTTGAAGAAACGGCTTCCGCTGTTTCTAGAATGAGCACCCTTGCCACGCTTCTTAAAAACGGTACCAAGTGCAACAAATGGAAAATAGGTGGCGTGGTAGTTCAAGTATTGGATAAAACAAATCGAGCATGCCCACTGATAATTCTGTAATCCATTATAAAAGAATAAATAAATAAATGTTTTATTCCCGGCAGCGCGGGGCACGCCTGCGAAGGCATGATCATGATAATACAAACAGGTATGTTCGGTAATTGCATAATAATATAGCGCGGTAACCAGTTACATACTGGAGTTGTGTGTCTGTATATATGTAAATGTATGTGTCAGTGGGCATGGTGAGTGAGCTTGTGCATTGTCACTGAATTCGTGAGTATGTTTGCTGTGTTCGCCATCATCGGTATGGATCAATTGAACTCTTCGAATTGCATAACGTTTGTGAAGTGGGAATCCTCCGGATGGGTAAGAGGCAGTGACTTTATTTAGTGGCGAATCACAACCGCCACGTCACAGTGTTGTTAAATGGACCTTTGTGGCGTTTTATTGGGAGAAGGCTTGCCAGGCGAAAACCCACCACATCCAGAAACACTGCCGCCGAACCACCTAGCTGGCACCATGAGTAGTTTGTTCGGCTAGTCAGTCACATGCATTGTTTTAGTCCTCAGACAGCAATAACCACGCTGAGTCCAACCCGTGGCATAGAGATTGCCGGTAGGCACCCCTGCCACCACGACACTGAAATACGGTCCTGATGAAACAACACAATGTGGTTCACAGTAGGGTAAGCCGCATTCCATATTGAGCCTGCATGTCGCAACTTGTTCTCACCAGTCACACCCAAAACGAGGATAAAATGAGCTTATCAAATAGCGTGGTATTTCAAAGGCGCAGTAGGGAATTCAAGATGTACGAGCAGAAATTGTCACATCTCTAGAAATAGTTACACCACCATCGCATGTCGGGGAAATCACTGGACGACTGTTTGGTACTTTGGAGAATCGCCAGCAGAGTGTATTCCATCTGCCTTCTCTGAGGCTAGAACCCACACTAAATCACATCCAGTAACTCATTCGTTTCTGCGACTGCCTTACGCCCTTGGCCAACTGGCCTTTATTGCTAACTCCTAGGTGTAGGCTCGTGGGTTTCACATCATTGAAACCAGGCTGGAAGAGCATTGCTAATTATTCGTGGAATTACAAAATGGCTGTGCACTGCATTTCCGGAAATCTGATGGCTGAATGACTGAGTCTAGTTATGATGAATGCAACTTTGCATTTTTCAGCCAAATTACATCTATGGAAGTCCTAACAATTACTCCACAACTAAACGCCATATTTGCACTCTATGCTACGTGCCATATCTGCCTCACTGAAATCCAGTCTCAACAGCGCACACTTCTATCTGGAAATTGAATTACTCTTCAAATTAACTATCATCGATAGAAATGTGCCCGTTAGACCCATCCAGTCAAAATAATCTAAACTCGCTTGATTTTCGTTTGTGAATCTCGTCACGGATTCTCGGAAATTACTAGACGACATCAACATGGTGCTGCTGCAACTAGCCTCCACTTGTGGGTGTGTACGTATATTGTTGTTTTTGTTCGTGTTGTTGTTGTTGTTGGTTGTGGTGTTGTTGTTGGTGGTGGTGGTTGTGGTGCGCGTCACAAAACAAAACGTATTATATATCATTAGCCAGCATCACAATGGAATACTCGGGTATAGGAGTACGAAAACAAGTCCCATGGGATAGTCGGAATGAGAAACACAAACTGGAATCAGAAGATATGGTGAGAAGCTAAGTGAGGGGTATGCAGAATTCACACAAAGCAGATGCATCATTGCAACCAATTAAGTGCATGTACAAAAGGCCCTTTCACAAGGTGGCAATGCGGTTCATCAAGCACCTTGAACACGTTCACAGGCTTCAGGACTGAGCGATTCTTTGGATCCGATCGAGGAAATGGAACAAAAGCCGGTGAGAACGGAGCTAGTGTACTAGTGTGTCATGGGATCAATTTTTACGAAGGTGCTCTAGCGCAAAGCAAATGATGAATTGTGCGACCTCTTGAGCCGGAAGATGTTTCTTGACATTTTATTAGAGTTCCTGAGCGCATCTATTCTAAGGTGCGTAGAAAATGTCGGACTTTACTTTGAAGGAATTACATACAAGCGGATGGCGTCGCAATGAGCAGTCATGCGGGACACGTTTTGGTAGACATTTTTCTGGAGCTGGTAGAGGGGAAAATAACAACCAGCATTTGGGAAGTAGCGCTGTACAAGCGTCATGTTGATGCTGTCTTAGTCTGCCCAACAGTGACCGTTTTGATCGTCTGGTTGCCTTTTTGCATTCGGTCTATCCTGATCTTTCCTTATTTCCCGACATGGAACAAGAGGGCAGCCCTCCGCTTTGGACGCATCTATCTACTCACTGTACATTGTAAGGCTAACTGGAGTGGTAGTAGTAGTAGTAGTAGTAGTAGTAGTAGCAGTAGTAGTAGTAGTAGTAGTAGTAGTAGTAGTAGTAGTAGCAGTAGTAGTAGTAGTAGTAGTAGTAGTAGTAGTAGTAGTAGTAGTAGTAGTAGTAGTAGTAGTAGTAGTAGTAGTAGTAGTAGTAGTAGTAGTAGTAGTAGTAGTAGTAGTAGTAGTAGTAGTAGTAGTAGTAGTAGTAGTAGTAGTAGTAGTAATCTCAGCGGTCTATCAACTAGATAAAGGGCCAACATAAAACCATGGAGATTAGCGGATAAGGAACCGTCATCGCATGATAATCCTTGTGGCCTGGTAGTTGAAGGTGAGCTACACACTTCAGCTAATATGCCGCAGGAACAAGGGAACATTTTGACAAAAAGTAGAACAAAACATTGTTAGTTCGTTTTTCACACGCAGACTTTTCTCTTTTTTGTCAGTTTCAATGTTTGTAGTATTAAACATGCGAATCAATACAATACTGTACACAATTCTTCCACTGATTCCGGTTGCGGGCCCTATCTTCAAGAGTGCTAAGCTATTGGCACTCCTCATCTTTGCGTCCCCATCTCTTAAGACGTACAGATCCAACAGCGGCTAGACACAACGTCAGCGATTTCATGTGCTGCCGCTAAGTGGAAGGCTGACCACCGCGCGGTCGCCTCCAGCCAGGTCCTTGATGAGCGAATAGAGCGCGACGCGGTAGACGCTCAGGTGCCAAGTGTAGGACGTGACCGAGCCAACACAACTGGCGCAAAAAAACCAGTTTGCTGAAGGGAATACTCGCATTCCCCAAGATGCGACGTCGAACGTCATTACTTATAGCTCGATGTTGCCACCAAACATGAGCGATCCTCCTTAAGCAACCGTTATCGAAGGCATGAAGACGACGCATGTCTTCCACGTGAACCAGTCTTGACGCGCACCCATACAACAATACTGAGCGAACTGATGTGCTGTAAACGCGGCCCGTTAGTGAGAATGAGAAGTCGCGACGACGCCACAAGTGCCTCCGATTGACAGATGCTGATCGAGCTTTAGCGATACGAAGAGAAATTTCTTTGTTGATAGTGCCGTCAGCAGAAACGGAACTCCCAAGTTAGACGAAACTATCTACCTGTTCAAGTTGTGCACCTTCGAGGGTGAGCACAGGAGCAGGTGAATGCCAATTCTTGAACAGTACTTTACCCTTCGATGGGGCGAAGCTCATGCCATACTTAGATGCTTCAAACGCCAAACGATCCAGAATGAGTTGCATACCCTAAGGATCGTCAATACCATTTTTCTAGCTTTGCCCCAATTGCATACAAACTCGGCCTTGTGAAAACACTGTTCTAGAGAACCAGTTGCATTTGCAGCACAGACACACTAAAAGCTCAGAAGGTTTCTACGCAGAATATCCGGAAAAGTTTGTTGAGATTCACGGCAGACCATTCCAAATAAAGCTACCGGTGTACAAGACAGCGAAAAAAGATGTTACTTTGCTCTTACCTTTCAGAGGTGACCATATCGCAAATGACGTAA